CATACATACATACATACATACATACATACATACATACATACATACATACATACATACATACATACATACATACATACATACATACATACATACATACATACATACATACATACATACATACATACATACATACATACATACATACATACATACATACATACATACATACATACATACATACATACATACATACATACATACATACATACATACATACATACATACATACATACATACATACATACATACATACATACATACATACATACATACATACATACATACATACATACAAACATACAATAAATGTTTCCAACGAGAAACCTTAGAAAATTTTTCCTATTTCAGTCCAGTCTTGCGATATGTGTTATTTATGTTCATATTTTTTGTTGAATTATTATTGTGGTTATTATTGTATTACATTTTTTTCAAAATTTTTACTGTTATTTTTTCAAAGGGGTATTACGCACACACACACACACACACACACACATACATACATACATGCATACATGTATGAATGTATATTCATACATACATACATGCATACATGTATGAATGTATATTCATACATACATACAAAAATGTAAAACAACAACTTTTTTACCAGAAGAATCATTTGAAACGAGGTTCATTCTAATTGGACTTGATTCCAAACAATTTATGTTATGTATGGCTCAATAATATGAACGTATGTCTGCATTAGTTGATTGAATTCCGGCCGCTCATTTGAATTCCCCTCTCTTTCTCTCCTCTCTCTCTCTCTCTCTCTCTCTCTCTCTCTCTCTCTCTCTCTCTCTCTCTCTCTCCTCTCTCTATCCTTCTTTCTTTTTTTTTTCTTCTTTTTAATTTTTTTTTCTTTCGCTCTTTCTGTTTCATTTTTACTTTCTTTTGAGTTTTTTTTGTTTTTTTATTTGTTTTACACACAATTACAAAAACACATGCACACAAACAGACACAGACAGACACAGACGGACACACACACACGCACACACAAACACAAGTAAATACAAATAGTATTAAAAATAATAATAATAA